CCCAACACGTCATCAGGGGAAGAGGGAGAGTAGTATTCATATTGAGTAATTGTAGAAGGAGGAGGAGGAGGAGGAGGAGGAGGACCAGTGTAAACCCAAGAGTCATCAACGATGTTGGAATAAACCCTCCCTCCAAGCTCCTTCTTCATAGGTCCCTACAGTGGTGCATGTACACTGAAGGAACTGCCTCGTTGGAAGACCCTGAAGCATGCCGAAACATTACTGTCGGGAGTCCAACGCCACGTATCAACCTGACTGTTGCGTCTTGACGATCCTGAATCGTGCCAGAACGCCGTTCTTGAGACGTCAGCACCGCGAATCAACGTAACTGCTGCACCCTCATAATCCTGAATCCCTCCAAAACACCATTTCTGGTACGTTGACCATGGGAATCCGTGAAAATCTTGTAAATGTTAAAAACGAATCCACATTTTGAAAAGGAACCGCCCTCGATTCGTGAAGCTCTTGCAATTGTTGAACGAACGTGCGCGGCGCTAATGCGAGAGCCACACTTTGAAAATGGGTCGCCCTCAATCCGCGAAACTCTGTGCAGAAGTTTAAAATGAATGTACGTGGCGCTAAGGCGAGAGCCACATTTTGAAAACGGGTCGCCCTCAATCCGTGACACTCTTGCAACTGTTTAAACGAATGTGCGCGGTGCGAAGGCGAGAGCCACATTTTGAAAACGACCCGCCCTCAATCCGTGAAGCTCTTGCAAATGTTGAATACAACTCATGTGTGCGGCGCCAAGGCGAGAGTCACATGTTAAAAACTACCCGCCCTCCATCTGTGAAGCCGTTGCAACTTTGTAAGCTTCAGGGTCATAAAAGGGAAGAAGTCTCAGGCGAGACGCCCGGCCCGCCCTAAAAACAGGCCTCGGGGTGCGAAAGGGATACATGATTTATAAGGAAAAGGAATGGAGGAGGAGGAGGACGAGGAGGAGGAGGATGAGGAGGGGGAGGAGGAGGAGCAGGAAGGAGGGCGGGGGAAGGGATGGGGTCCTCCTCCTCATTTTCGTTTTTCTCCTTGACCTTCTCCTTCCTCCTCCTCCTCCTCCTCATTCTCCTACTCCTCCTCTTCCTCTTCCTCCTCTTACTTGTCGGGCCTTCGGGGGGCCTTCAAATGGCCAAATCTGGGTCCTCCTCGACAGGTTGCTCGAACCGTGTTCCGGGAGAGACCCGGGGGTCGGCTTTGAAGGGGCAGGAAGGGGAGGAGGGAGGGAAGGGAGAGAAGGATGATGATGATGATGAGGAGGAGGAGGAGGAGGAGGATGAGGAGGAGGAGGAGGAGGAGGGGCAGGAAGAGGAATGGAGGAGGAACGGAGACAGACAAGACAAAGCTCGCGGGGTCTTCTTCAGCAGCGGGTATCCTTCAGCAATAGCCTCGACGTGAAGCCTCGTGCCGCTCAGGTCCCTGAGGGGTATGCAACCACCAACTCAGAACATGCACCTATCGGTGATTTGCGCGATCCCTCAAACAAGGGCACGGGCTCGAACCAGCACCCTCCGAGCCGACTGACTTGAAACTGACAGCATGGTAAGGAACTGGGATGACTGTCGACCAGCCTTGAGATCGACACTGGTCAAGCTCCGAGACGTTGCACGACCGCAATCATGAAGCCAAGGACCCCAAACGTGGCCGCACTCCCAAGCTTCTGCTGGATGCCGTCCTGCTCCACGGGCTCACCCTGCCCAGCAAGGGAGTCCGCCTGCGCACCTCTCAGGCTCTTGAACGTGCTCTTGGCCTTCTTCTCCGTGAGCTCCATGATGCGCCTCTCCCTCTCCATCCTCACCGCGAAGTCGTCGCCGGACTTCGCGCCTTCTGTCACCAGCCCGAACATGCCCCAAGCGTTATTCCAGAACCCGTCCGAGATGGACTCGGGCGAGAAGAACGCAGCCTTAGGTCGGGCACGTCCTCCTACAGGCGGATGTTTGACGAACATAGTCCGAAAAGATTCAAAACATACTCAAAAATATTATTTTTTATATAAAAAATTATTTTTTAAAAAAAAAAAAAAAAAAAAAAAAAAAAAAAAAAAAAAAAAAAAAAAAAAAAAAAAAAAAACACGTCCCCTGACAATTGTTTGTTTACTCATCCTGTAGAGGGACAGGCCCGACTCAAACGCAGCCTTCTCCTTCCTCTTCTGCTTCTCGGACACGGGCCGCACCCGGACGGCGAAGTGCTCGCCCGGGGCCTGAGCCTCGATCCGCTGCTGGCAGGCCGAGACCCACTTTCCTGAGGAGAGACATCGCCGGCCCTCGCTGTACTCGGGAACATCTAGAAGGTCTGGTTCAAGAAGGGTGGTTTCGACGGCTGTTGGGGCGCCTCAGGTTGAGCTGTGGGGCATCAGGTCAGGCTTAGGGGCCTCAGCGAACCCTTCTGGCAGCCTCCTACGTACGCGTGGCCCCCCCACTTGCAGGCCCATGCCACACCGGCCGGCTGGTCGAGGGCCAGATTGGAAGCACTGGGAACCTGGACGGATACATGGCTGGATTCACACGTCGAACGCGTCGGACATGTGGTGGGCCGGCGGGCGTAGCTCCGCGCGGGCCGAGCGCTGCAAAGACGTGCGGCCACATGTGCGTTCAGCTCTCGCGCTGGCCACACACGTCATGCGTATCCAGCATCCTGGCACACAGGAGAGCATATGCTCGCGCTTGGTGTTGACCAGCGATGAGTAGGCTAGCTCCACTCCCAGTTTTGCGAATCAAAACGTCGCCAGGCAAACTAGAAACCTCACACGAGCCGATCTGCGATAGGCAAACGGAGTATGGCCGAGCCGCCCTGGGATTGGCAAACCAGGAACCTCACACGAGCCGACCTGCGACCTACCTTGCTATGACGTAGTATGGTTTGGTACCGAGAGCGAGGGTCGAGTTCTGCTCTCTGGAATCCGTCGATGTTGACGGCGCACGTCTTGCACTCGCCCTTCCTGCACTGGTACTTGATGAATACGTCTGCCTGTTTGGCCACCTCTGAGGTGCAACGATAGGGGGGGGTAATCGGCATAGGGGGGAATGCATCGACCCCGAACGGCCGATGCATTGCCCATGCATCGTCGATATACCGTCGACGCAGGCCGCCCCATGTATCGCCTATACATCGTCGGTACATCGCCCTGATATCAACGATGCATCGTCGATGCGTCCACAAAGTATCAACCGTTCGAGGTCGATCAATCCCCCCTATGCCTCCCCCCCATATCGTTGCCCCCGAACCTCGCTCAGCGGCTGGCCCACCCGAGCCATCGTCATGACGTTCTGGGGCTGGAAAACGACGGGGGTGTCCCCGAGGAGTTCGTGGCCTGGGATCATCTGGGGGGGCTCGTTCTCGATCTCCTCCTCGAGGAAAGGGTCGTCAAGAACGGCTACCGCTTCCTGTGCTAGCGGCTTGGTGATGGGGTCCGACCCTTCGCGCCTCCTCTCCACCACCGGGGACACGCCCGACGTCAGCAGCATATCGGCTTCGAGCTGCTTCGGATCTTCTGGCGTCTTGTCCAGCTCGAGGAGCATCTGCTCCAGGTACTTCCTCCTCTCCTCTTTGGGTGCGCTGCGGTCGGCAACAATCTTCGCGCCCTCACCTTGCCTCGACGCCTCCATGCGAGCACGCTCCTCAAGCACCCCAAGAACCGACGTGACGGCCTCTATGAGCTTCAGGGTAGGACAGGGCGACTTGGGCTGATAAGCTTTCGGCCACTCGGCTCCAGTAATCTCGGTAGTGTACTCCCACAGCTTCATCATCAGATCTTTGTTGAGGACCTTATCCGACTGGTCGTTCTCGAAGATGGAATCCCAACCTCCTCCTGCTCCACCAGCACCACTGATCTGACCGCCCTTCTCCAAAGAATCCTCCCTGCCTTCGCGGGGGCCCCCATTCCATCCCCAATAGACCCCCGATTTGCGGCACCGAGGGTCGTGGAGGACCTGGAAGAGACGCTGCCCGGCCTCCTCCTCTCCGACGAAGCCTCCGGTGACGTACTTCATGAATATCGGGAACAGCTGCCGGAACCACGGGCGCTTCTCTCGAAAGAGCGGGGTCTCGGCGATGCACCCGGGGTAGACGGAGCTGAAGGCAATACCCGTCGAGCGGTGGAATCGCTCATGGAGCATGTTGCAGGTCATCATACAGGCCAACTTAGTGTCCTTGTACGCCTTCGCGCCGTTGAAGTTGTAACCGTCCATCATGGCGATCGGCTTCTTGCAGCCCAGCTCCAAGCCGTCGAGCTCCTTGAGGTCGGCAATCGGGTAGACACCACCGCCCCCGACAGTATTGTCATTCCCTGTCACAGACCCAAGCATACAGATGCGAGCGTCGTCTGAGCCTTGCATCATGGGCATGATCTTCGAAGTGAGCAGGAAATGGCTGAAGTAGTTAATCTGATGTTGCTGCTCATGCCCATCCTCTGTCCATTTAGGGTAGTTGAGGGTGGGCTGATAGACAGCAGCGTTGCACGCGAGTCTGTCGATGGGACGATCACCTCGGAATTGTTCCAGCTCTTCCACGAATTTGTGCACCGAGGCGAAACTGGCGAGCTCGAGGTGCATGGGCGTGAAATGCTCCATGTTGAAGCCCTCCTCTTCTGCCACGACCCTCATCTTGTCCAGGTTGCGAACGGCACCGACGACGTGGTATTTCTCGGTCCGCAGCAACGCCTTGGTCGTTGCCAGCCCGAGGCCAGACGACGTCCCCGTGATGACGACGAGCTTCTTGTCGCCAAACTTTGAACCCGCGGCGCTCTGAAGGAAATTCTCGAAAGACGGGGCCTTGAAATTCGACATCCATGCGTAGCTTTGTACCTCCTGGAACAAGAGGAAGAGACAGCCTGACCGGAACATGAGCATTGCTTGCCCGAGCACAAATCGAGAGCTGCCCAGAAATGTTGGAGCAGCAGCCTTCGAGAAACAAAAATGCTCGAGTCGGAGACCTTACTCTTGACTCGCGGCAGTAGCTGAAGCCAAAACGGCTGCTGTTCAATCTGGCGAGCAATTCGCCACGGGCTGGTGGCGGGGGTCCCCTAAAGCTGGTGCTCTCCTAAAGTTGGCATCGCCTAAGGGGTTCGAACTCATTCTGTGCAAAGGCCGAGTGTGATTCGCCCCGCCGGGTCCCAAGGGAGGTTCCTCGGGCACTTCCTGGTGCTCCTTTGGGGGTCCCTGGGGATCCTCGGGGGGTCCCTGGGGATCCTCGGGTTTTTTCTTCTGTTAGCATTGCTGTAATTCGCGTTGCTTTGCTTTGCGTTGCTTTGATGTGCCTATGTGCGCTTTGCTATGCCATGCCGTGCTACACATTGCACTGTTATGTTGAATAATGCTAGCCTGTGCAACGCTATGCAATGCTATCTTGCGGTGCTCCAAACTATACAATGTCATGATCTGTTGTGTACCCCAACGCTGCACACACCCACACACACATATATATGTAGTTATTTTTTACTGCGAGGGATGTTAGTCTCAAGAGCGATGGGGAAGCTGTACAAAGACACAAAGAATGACGTGCGTCGAGCTGTGGCGACGGCGCAGACCAGGTGTCAAGCAGCCCTGGTGGCTACAAGCAAAACGTGTGATAGCGCGTGTGGCTACGGTCAGTCGAGGCGCCCGATGGTACGTCCATCGGCCCTCCTCGCCGGCAGGTGGCACAAGGCGTGGGTCCTTCCGGCGCGCTGTCCAGCGCGTCGGGCGGATCGGAGCTCTTCGTCTACCCTCGCCTGCTGGTCAGCATTCAAGGGAGCAACATGTGCCTTTACCCAAGTCCAACAGCGCGGGCGGCGGGAGTCAGACCAGTGCGCCAGCAGACGGATCTTCTGCCTGAAATCCACCTTGCAGCATGGACACACCGTGCCGTGGAGGTAACAAACCTAGCACGAAGGATATATATATATATATATATATATATATATGTCCGCCGACCCCTTCTGCGGGTCCAACAGGCTGCGAGGGTGAGGATTGCAGCTCCCTGTGCCAGTTGCGGCTTCCAGTTTCCACTATTACAGCCCTGCTTTCTGCTTCCTTACTATTAAATGTTGCTGAACGCGCGAGAGGGGGGAGCCCCAAACCAATTAGTTTACAACGCCCAGATCGCCTTGTCTGAATTCCTTGGGGGGCGTGGGACACGTAAAAATACATGAGATTCGCGTCCCCGAGGCTGCAATCCCTTGTGTATTACGCCATATTCGCGTCCCCGAGGCCATAAAACTCTGCAAATCATACGATATTCGCGTCCCCGCAAACATCTTCCCTAGTAAAATACATCGTATTCGCGTCCCCGAAGCCATAAACCTTTGCAAGTTACGCAATCTTCGCGCCCCCGAGACCGTAAACCAATGCAAATTATACAACATTCGCGCCCCCGCAACCGTAAACCTTTGTAAATGAAGCAATATTCGCGCCACCAATGCCATACACCTCAATACATTACGCAATAGTTGCGTCCCCGAGGCCAGAAACCTTCGCACATTAGAAAATATTCGCGTCCCCGAAGCCATCAACCTTTGTGAATTACACCATATTCGCGCCCCCGAGACCATAAACTCAAGTAAATTATATAATAGTTGCGTCCCCGAGGCCACAAACCCGCGTAAAATTACAATATTCGCATCCCCGAAGCCACAAACCGTCGTAAATTACCGGAGGTTCGCGACACCGAAGACATAAACCCTAGTACATTGAAATTGGCCCTCGCGTGAAGTCCCGACATTGCTTCACGTAAGCGCCCAGGCATCTCAACACAGCCCTGGCAAGTCCCATTCTAAAAGAGGGGGCCAGCGGCATGGGGGCGAAGCCCTCACGGAGATATGTATATATATATATATACATATATAGGTGTATATATATGTATGTATGTATGTATGTATGTATGTATGTATGTATGTATGCATGCATGCATGCATGCATGCATGCATGTATGTATGTATGTATGTATGTATGTATGTATATATGTGTATACGTATGTATGTATGTATATACATACACATATATATATATATTTCAGAACGTCACCTACAACCACCTCTCCGACCCTTCTCAGGGGATGGCGCACGCGAAGCGTACCAGAATATTTTCCAAAGGTGGAGTGCGATCACGATCGCACCACGCTGGCCTGCGTAGGCCAATGCCTCGCCGCTCGAGGAGCAGTGCAAGGCCCCGCGCACTCCACACTGTTGTCGGTGACCACCACGGGTGGGTGGGAGCGCAGCAGGGCCAGAATATTACGAGCGTGAATCCTGAAAGGGAGGCTGGCGGGACATCAAAGGCAGCCCATTCCAGGAGCACGGACGTCGAGACGAGGCTGGATGAGAAACCTGGCATTCCGAAAACTATCCAGCAAGCTCTATCTATTTCAGAACGTCACCTACAACCACCTCTCCGACCCTTCTCAGGGGATGGCGCACGCGAAGCGTACCAGAATATTTTCCAAAGGTGGAGTGCGATCACGATCGCACCACGCTGGCCTGCGTAGGCCAATGCCTCGCCACCTTCCCCTATCCAGCGAAAGCTACGAAACAACAATCGGAGAAGAAGAAACTGACTGAAACTCAGACTACAGCCCAAACTTGGGCTCCAACTGCACAGTACCTGTAGGCAAGAGACCATGACGACTTTGCAATGTCAACACGCAAACGAGTGAGACTCACTTCCCCGCGCCGGAGATACTCACGAGCAGACCTCTCTCAGAGCCAGCGACCGAAGAGCATGATGTCCGCTAGCGGCACGCCCCGTGACAGCAGCTCCGTGGCTCCCCCACGGCGCAACCCATGAGACGTCCAGTGAACAGCCCCGAAGCCCAGCGCGTTGGCGGCCTTCTGAAGCCACCGCTGGAGCCGCGGGCACGAGATGGGGCACACGCGCTGCCCTGCTCTGGCGGGAAAGCGCAGCATGTAGTGATCCAGCCAGGTCACGGTGGACGGCTCCTCGAACAGGACTTTCTGCTCTGCCCCTCTCTTGGTGCGGCCGAGCAGCGCGACGTACCCTGTCACGGTCCTGATCCAGGTCGCGCCGTCTAAGGAGAGCGCCTCGGACGCTCGCAGCAACCCAGTGAAGCACAGCAGCACGGCGGCGGCGCAGCCACACTCTCCGGCCAGCACGAGCCAGTTCACGATGCCCAGCGCCAGCACCGCTGGTAAGGCGGGCGCCTGCAGAGGCGGTCTGCGGGTGCGCCAGACGTCCAGCGCCTTCCAGGCCGCGCGGTAGTGGTGCCGAGGATTCGCCTTCGCGAAGGCGGCCAGCAGGGTTGAGGCAGTCCCAAGCCCATCCACCCCGCCAGACTCCTCGAACATATCCACCACTCGTTCGGCCAGGAACCAATCGAGCTCCTCCTCAGTGAGTTCGTGGATGCTGTAGCCCAGCGCCTCCAGGTCACAGCTGAAATCGCACAGCGCGGCGGCGTACCTGTCGGTCGTCACTGGCTTCAGCGCGCTCATCAAGAAGGTAATGATGCGCCCACGGCGCCTGCCAGGATCGTCGGCCATGGCTGAGGTGCTGCTGATGGGCGACGAGCGCGTTGACCGCCAAGCGAGCCAGAGCCTGACACAGCTGCGGAGGGTAGCGCGCCAACTGAGCGGTGACGAAACCTCCCTTCGGGGCCAGGCCGTACACGCCCTTGTGACGGTGTCGATGATTGCAGCGAAGTCCCAGGACCGCGGCGGCCCTGGCGTCATTGGTGACAACGGACGTGGGCTTCTGAGATAACGATCCGTGCCGACACTGATCGAACGAGACCACGTACAAACCGAACTCAGAGATCCACTCCACCACCTCCTGAGCAACCCAGAAGGACGGGAAAGGATGACGACCTGGATCCTGAGGATGCTCCTGTCCTGCCCAGCCCCCTCTGATATGGACTCTGGTGAAGAGCTCGAGGCAGAGGAGGAAGAGATGCGTTCCCAGCGCACAAGCCTGGCGCTCGGACTCTGACAGTTCAGGCAAGGGCAAGAGCGGCTGGTCCCGAGAGCGCAGAGGGCGCGGGCCGCGGCGGCCGCCCAGGGCGTGATGCCTGGCGCGACTGACGGTCGAGCAAGGCGGCCCCGCGAAGGAGCCCATCACGTCGCCGCTGCTGCACAGCCCCCTCAGCTCGCGCACCAGCACAGGCGACGTCAAGTCGTGGGCAGGGTCGACCATGGGGTCGTAGGCCAGCGCCTTCACCACCAGGCCAGCCCCGCGCGCCTCCCGCTCGACCATCTCGCACAGGTCGCCCTCGCGCCTGGGCCCAGAGCAGAAGTGCAGGAAGAGCTTCTCGCGAGATGCCCATCCTGCTGGCGCCAGCGGGATCGCCTCCTGGCGGGGCAGCGGCTGAGGCGGCTTGCGCCGGCCGCCACGCGCCTGGCGCGACCCGTGCCAGCTGCTGGGCTCGTCGGCGGGGTTCTTGCCAGTCGAGATCCAGAAGTGGAAGTGCGAGAACCCGCCCGCGAGCTCGATAGCCGCCCCACGGCGGCAGCGCCGGTTGAGCCTGCGGCTGGCACTGCGTCCCTTGATGAAGGCACCCTCGCACGGGGCGTTGTCTCCAGCATGCAGTACTCGTTTCCCCAACTCGGAGGGCCGATGCAGACGGGCCTCCATGCCCCAGAGCTTCGCGTGCGCCTCCTCAAGCGTGATGTGCTGATAGCCGCCTGGCCTGCCCACCTTGAACCAGTGGCCCACTGGCGGCAGCGTAACACGGGCCAGGCTGCAGCGCCCCTCGACGTCCACGTCAACCCCGAAGCCGTCGCCGAGCATGGTGTAGGGCGCCCGATGGTCAGCCCACCTGGCGATGTGCTGCACCGACTCCAGCGGCAGCGTCGCCCAGGCGCGGCCATGCCCTCCTGGCGCGGCGTCCGTGCACTCCACGCGCGGGCACCAGTCCGCATCCAGGTCCTGCTCGGCGAACGGCAGCAGGATAGCCGACATCAGCACCTCATGCCACGCCGACGGGCACCACGCCACGGGCTTGCGCCCCTGCAAGGGTAGGCGCTCCAGCCAGGAATAGACCTGAGAAAAGTTAGACCGCAAGCAAGGCCGATAGCTCTGGCAGA